CATTGTACATCGTAGGCAGAATCTTTCCAGCACCGCTTATGCCTTTGTGGCGAATTCATGAGTTCTTCATGCAATACCTCAATTAGAAGAAAGTACAAATAATAAAACGCTTGAATTATTGGCGGTCACTAGTGAACAAACTAATGAGCTATCTAAGTCTTTAGTTGTACGTTCTTCATCTTGGTTATCTAGGTAAGCTCAATCTTTGTTCCGGGTTGGTAATTTGACGATCGATCATCATTTACTGACATTTTTGTCGGGTTACGTACTTTTTCAACTAGTAATTCTCGGAATAGAATGGCTCAATGACCTCATAAAATCTATTTGATCACAGCGGACGACTTTGTCCACGAAGACTGGCCAAAAAATTACATTCATCGAATCACTGATGACGGGTTCGTTATCATGAATTTTAAATTTAAGAAACACTTACCTTGTAGCTGGACACAAAGAAGTCTTATAATAATAAAAAAGTCATCACGCGTAAGGATTAAACTTTAATGATCGATAAGGCCATTGAATGCGTTGGAACTGAATTACATTGCGTCAAATGTGGATCTAATGAACATTTCTTTGTCTGTTGCCAAGTGTGCTGGTGCTGCAGATGCGGTCTATTCACACAGAAGTCAAAGCAGACGATTCCAGTGTGGAAGGTTGCAGCATTAAACTCGTAATTAGAGCAAATAATTTTCAGTCATTGGCCTGAAACATACCGAGTCGCAAGTGAACTTTCCTCGCCCGAGTGAATGGTAAAAGTCAAATTTCTATTGAGGAAAAAATCTAATCTACAAGAAATAATTTGGAATATATTTTTCAATAAGGATTAATAAACTCTCGGAGAATTGCAAAATTTTTTGGATATCTATCAAAATTCAATCTTTTGATTTATCGCGCTTCCCAATTGTCCCATTTTTTCTTATAACCTCGTGGTACGCCACCCAGCCACAGCATCTCAGATCATATGTCACGCTTTATAAGTATACAATTTACTTGTTAGTTGAAAAATATTAGTTTACAGAATGTTCAAGAATCGAGTTTTAATTAAACTCGATCAATTCAAGTTTGAAAAAGCAAGATTACATGTTTTTATCAGATGTTTAAAAGGCGTCACCTGTAAAAAATTAATAAACCGTTTCGGGCGCAGCTGTAAGAAGGCGCCCCCCCCCTTTTTTAAATTAAATTTTTGATGAAGTTTTAGTTGATACTAGGTACGTGGTTCTTTGTTTTGTTTAAAGGTACAACTAATGAGGAATGTATGATGTAAATTAGACGCCTATAGAGTTATTCAATTTTTAATGAAACACTATTTTGTAAAAAGTGGCAAAATGGGCCCATTGCCCCACTCCTGAGGCAATGGGCCCATGGGCTTGGGGCAAGGTGCCCACCCTTGGTCCCTTTACCACAATTGCATATTTTTTGTTTAAAAATGATAAAACAACACTTTACAGTTAAAAATAAGAAAAATGTAATAAAAAATATGACATGCGTTCATTTATTAACAATTCAAAAAATCAATATCCTTAACTTGAAAAAAATATACTCTTGGCTTGAAAAATCTATCACTGACGTGAAGAAAAATATTTCATTGACATAAAAATATATATCCTTGACTTGAAAAATATACCATTGCTATAAAAAATTCGTCCTTGACATGAAAAAATGTATCCTTGACTAGAAAAAATATATTTAGTTGATCAGAAAAAACTTCGATCCAGTTTCGTCCATAATCCAGATATTATGTGCAGACAATTCGTACCTAATCGTGATTTCAGCCAACACCATAAAAACTCATCAACTTTTGGCTCATTGGTGTTGACTGAAATCAACTTTTGGCAAGGCAAGAGTCAATAACTCGATAAGGGGTCATAAATACGCATAACTATAAACTGAACCTGCTGCCTTGAGGCGGCAAATCAAAAAATCATGCAATATGAAGTGTAATTTGTAATTCAAAAAGCTAGTCATAGTTTTGAAAAGGTCATTGAGACGAATCTAATGATGCATAACACAAGACTTCACAGAGGGGTATTGAGCCCACCATGGGCGCTTTGCCCCGTGACACGCGTGGGCCCGTTGCCCCACCAGGTACCATTTCAATTTATATCGTGTCAACATTTTATTTTTAAAGCTAATAGTATAAACTTGATCTAAAATTATCCCTATAAATATTACTTTCAAAATATAATTCACAGTAATTTCAAAAGCTTCATCTACAGTAATCGAAAACAGTTTTATTTAGCAGCAAAAAAACTTTACTTTTACTGGGCTAAAACAGTTATTCACAAATAACTTAATAGCGCAAACACTTAGCAAAACGTAAGTCCGTACACTTCATCCCAGTGAAACTGTCGACCGGCGGTAGAGAACGCGGACCAATATCTGTCATACTTAGCGAGAAACCCGCTATGGGCCCGTGACCCGCAGTGGGCTCGCTGCCCCATGTTACCCTATTATGGATAGGAGTAAGGGCTTAATTACACACGACTGTTCTCGCCGACGACTGCAGTGCCTGGTTAAGTACGCTGTTTTATAGCTTATGCATAGCTGACGTCACAAGGGCGTGAGTCGCTACCGGGTAAGTAGGAGGAGGGTTTAGATGAGGAAGATTTCATGGACATATTTCAATAAGGAAATTACCTTCCAAAAGGGAAGTTATTAATGAAGACATATTTATAAGAAATTCTGTTCCGTTTTAATTTAAGGAAGACCATGAAGATTAAGCTTGAATAGTTATTAACGTCAAGGATAAGGAATTAACAGTTAAGAGCTTTGGAAGGAGGGGGCAAATGGTGCATTCTTGATTGCTGTATAAAGTACAGCATAATATGTGCAATTTCCCTCTATATTAACTTGATTTAATGCATGGAATGGGCCCCTAGTCCTAGCTGTTAATGCATGCAAATTCACTTCTTTGGTTGGACCCAACATTGCGAAGTCGTCTATGACGCATTAATTACTTTCTGAGGTTAGGTCCAGCCAGGTCAAGTTTTTTTTATATATTTTTTGCAATTTAGAAAAAAAATTAATTAAAGTCCGGTAAAGTGGAACTATAAATTGGTAACACCGCGATAATTATTAGTTGACGTTTTTCAATTAGTTATTTAAGGTAAAAAAAAAACTTTCCTGGTTGGACCTAACCTTACTAAAATTGTAAAAAAGTGCCTAAAAAACATTTCACACCTCTAACCCTAATTCTAACCCTAACCTAACAAGATTTTCGTTAATTTGCATCATAGGTAGATTCTGCGACATTGGTACATTCCGAGACAGTAATTGTGCGACATTTTTTCGCACAACATGCCAAAAATGTCGCGCTATTGTCGAAATTTTGAGTAACGTTTTGATCGAACAATTTCGCTTCACGGTTTTCGGGAACTTTCAATAAACGTGTCGCCACTAGTGCAGTCAAAGCCAACTCATCTAATTTTCAGATTTTGTGATTTTCTCCAAGTTCATATACTTTTTAATTGCATGAACAATAAAGCTTTCATTCAATATAATTTATCAACAAGCAAAATGAATCAAAGTAAACCGTTTGCTCCAGGCGCATCGATTGTATCTACCATAATCGTGACAAAATCCCGAAACCTGCAAAGTCTGCTGGACATGATCCTTCTGTTTCCTGTTATGGAGGCTACCACCGGCCAGCTGTCGTCGCCCAGTCCTCGCGGAAAAAGCAAATTTGAGTGGAAATTAGCACTTTCTCTGAACAATATAATATGGGTCATAATGATCTTATTGATCCTTTCATCGATACCTGCGGTGATCTACATCGGAGGCGTTACATTTTTCACTTGTTTCGTGAGTCTTAGTTTATTTATCGTAGGATGCGTAAATGTAAATATTTGTATTAAAATCACTTGGCTGCTTAAGTCGCAAATTTACCAGGAATTTAAAAGTAGAGAAAATAGCCAAAAAGTTCACCATTTCTTATAAGCGAAAACGTTTCGGAGTCCATATCCATCATCAGTTCAATAATTGTTCACTAGCAATACATTAAGATTTACATTCGGGAGGTATTTAGAGAATAGATCTTTCAACTCCTTTGCCATCATCTCAGATGCGGGGCCAAAGTAACGTGACGATAGGAATCGTGTTTATTGTTTTTTTCCTTACTTTGGTCCCGCATCTGAGATGATGGCAAAGGAGTTGAAAGATCTATTCTCTAAATACCTCCCGAATGTAAATCTTAATGTATTGCTAGTGAACAATTATAAAATTAGCTCGTTTTTCAAGTACAAAGATCCTCTCCCTGTTCTTATGCGATCATCCCTAGTTTATCAATATAGTTGTGCGCAGTGCGCATCTGCGTATGTCGGTATGACATCGCGCAATTTTTATACTAGGCTTGCAGAGCATAGGGGCAAGAGTTATAGAACAGGGAACATACTTGCGCATCCTTCTCATTCAGCCGTGCGTATTCATGCCGAGCAGTGCAACGTCCCGGTGTCCAATAGTGATTTTAGAGTTTTAGCCTCCACAACCGGTGTTTCTGACCTACGAATTTTAGAATCTTTATATATTTCCAAACAGAAACCCAGTTTAAATGCTGCATTCAGTTCCTATCCTCTAGAAATTGTAAATAGATAGTACCCTCTCTACATGTTTTATTTCTGTTAAGTTCGATTTTAGTTTTAATGTCCTCATTTTAGGTGAATTGTTTGAATATAATTTTAGGCTACTAATTGTTTGTACCTTTGTTCTAGGGTTTGAACTGACGATAGAGCTGGACTCCGAAACGTTTTCGCTTATAAGAAATGGTGAACTTTCTGGCAATTTTTTTACTTTTAAATTCCTTGTAAATATTTGGATGAGGATTGAATCTTGGACTTCTAGCGTATTTTTATTTTAACGAATTCTGAGAATGATTGAACCTATTCTTCTTTAAACATCAAGTATGAAGGCCTAGCGACAGTTGAAATAAAGTTAGTTAGGATTTGACTATCAGATATTGTATTTGTTAATGACTGGATTTTAGTTTCGTAAGCTTAGGTAAGAAGATGGTTATCCATGCATTTCAGCTTCAAGAAGCTCGTTCGGAGTTCACAACATTCCTGTACATGATGCTGGGGAGCAGCATAGGTGACCGCATGGCGCGCTACAACGCCGTGCTGGAAGCAGCTCTGCTTCATGCTGATGTCACCACCCTCAACGAGCTGCATCACTACTACGTCATGATCAGGTCAGTAATATGTGATGATAAGGTTACTGTGACGTCATGATCAGGATTCTAACTGGATTTTTAGAATAAGAGTTTTCAATTATTTCGGCACTGCATCGGAAAATATGTCAAGGGAGCTAAAACTTTCGTTTTTTAAGTATTTTGCAAATGTTAATCTTCCTGTTTATTGGTCAAAAATTTTACAATCGGTTCTTTTTTAGGTACAAAGATACCCTTTCTATGAATATGCGAGCGTCCCTAGTTTATATAGCTGTGCACGATGGGCATCTGCGTACGTTAGTGGGATGACGTCTCGCAATCTTTATTCTAGGGTCGCAGAACATAAGGGCAGTAGTTGTAGAACTGGTCATAATATTATTGCGCCCCCTCATTCGGCTGAGCGTGCTCACGCCGAGCAGTGCGATGATCGAATTATGATAGTGACTTCAAAGTTTTAGCTTCCACTTCCTGTATTTCTGACTTGCGCATTTTAGAATCATTGTTTATTTTTATATAGAGGCCTAGTTTATATTTAGCGTTTAGCTCCCACCCGCTTGAAATTGTAAATAGATAGGTTTTACCTCTTGTTTTTTTTTTTGTAATTTTGACTGTACTAATTACTGATTTATCTGTGTTCTAGAATTTTCAAACTGACGATGGAGCTGGGCTCCGAAACGTTTTCTTCAAAGATTGTATGAATTTTTGTGTTTTTTTTGCTTCTAAGTTTTTAATGAATTTGCGATTCAAGCTAACGAGTGGCATCATTACTTAAATATCTATTGAGCTGGGTTTAGTGGCTAATTTTATCTGCCTTCCAATCGCTAATCAAGTAAATTAGCACAAATGAATTGTTACTAAGAAGTGTATCTCCTATTTGCTCCTATTGATCCTCTCCTGTTTGCCATTATTGCTTCAATCGTACAGAAAAAAGTATAACATCTAGACTTGATACACTTCGGGAATCAAATGGCAGTAACGGATGAAATATGAAAGCTGGCTATTTTAATAAGACCTTCTTTTTATTTATTGGGAAGGCCCGTAGAAACAAATCATCGAAAGATATAATTAAAGAACAAATTATTTCCCCGTTGTAATATCCCTGAACAGGAAAAAAGAGGCCGTAGCTCTGGAGATATTAAAGGCATCACTTGGAATTTGCCATTTAAAGAGACTAATCGCCAGCATCTTCAGCATTACCAACATACTGATGTTCGCTCGAATGAACAACATCTATATCTCCAACATCGCCATATTCTTACCACCGATGTGCAGCAACCTGGCAATCGCAAATTTCTATTATCTGCGAGGACAAAAAATTACAGACCTGGTAAGATGACGATCAGGCATGATATACATATATTTTTGCTGAACATGTTTAAATTGATGCTCAATAGAGAAACTGACATTATTGGAGGAAATAAAGGAAAAGAAAATTAATGAAAAATTGAAATTTTGAAACTAATTAAGATTTAATTAATAATTAGAATTTAAAATTAAAGTATAAAATTAAAATTTTCCCAATAAAGGTACAGAAAATTATATGTATTGTATACTCAGACCAATACTGCTCTATTTCAGATAATTACTGAACAATTAAGCTGATGCTAAGTAGAGGACAGATGTTACTGACTCTTCGCTCTCAAGTTAAGATCGGAGAATAGTAATCCTGCATGTGGATGTGAACGGGTGCAGAATAAAACAATTTAATATTGGGAAGCCTATTCGAATATTTTGTTCGCTTCCGCAAGACCATTTCAGGAAGTAGTTGAAATTTATTAACATTGCTGTTGTATATTTTATTCAATGCAGTAGAAAGTTTTCAAGAAAAGCAAGTGCGTGTCGGGTTTTGCTAATCCGAGATAACTTAAAAATTGCAAATAAAATTTAGGTTTAAGGTAATTGTACAGTGAAAATTTTACACCATGAAAATTGCAAGAAGGAAATAAATTTCGCAGAGAACATCTGGATAATGTAACAAGGAAAATATAACATTATTACCATGGCGAGTTACAGTACATAAATCATATTGAGAAGTCGTTCCATCTACATGACTTTTGATAGCTACCTAAATTGATGCATCCATGTAATAAAAACGAACGTACATTTAGACCTAAAATTGTAATTCTCTATAAAAAGGGATCACAATTATTAAACGACCTAAACAACCTCGTAGTTCAGAATCTGTAATGTTTGCCTTGAACTCGATTGGATTATAAGGAGGTTCTCGGTGTAACAAATGAACAATACTTAAAGTTCCCAAACCATGAACAACACAGCAGATTATGGTAGAGACCTTGTTTATTCTAATTAACTTTATCTTAATATTTTATTATACCTATCCCTGCTACTCGTTCTGGTCGAACCTTAATGAACGATTCATAGTAAGCTCTTTGGACATGCCATTTGATTGAATAGTTTTAAATTTGTTCAAATATGCAGTTGTAAAAAAAATTTGCATGAAATGTAGTCAATGACATTTTTCTCGCTACAAAAGAAACATTGATTTAACATAAAATTAAACAATAAATTTTGGTCGACTCATGTCTCCAGGTGTTGGCGACTCAGGAGGTTCTGCAGACTGCCCCTTGCCTCAAGGAAGAATCAGCTGCTGAGGTTTGTGATTTAATATATGTGATTTAATATATTTATTTGCATATAATTTATGCTTTTGATATATTTTCATCTTCGATCTAAATTTTTCTTAGATAAATATAATTTGAAAACATAGTATCATAAAGTTATTCGATGAAAATTTTGTTTTGAAATGACCCCTTCTTTATCGAAGGATGCCACTATCCTTGAATAATACTTGAATAATATTGATTCATATTCATAATAACGTTTGATATAGCGAGGTTGACATTACAAATTTTCCCCATCATCGCTGTTATTGTTAAAAAGATTTTACCAAGTTGATTCTACAGAGACCTAAGTTTAAAAAATGATAAAAATCGAAGTGAAATGAAGTAAAAAATGAATGCTACACGAGTCTAGGTTAACTTATGATTTATGAATATATTCAAAAAAGTTTTAGCAACGAATTCGTGCCGTGTGGGATGATAGAACAGCTGTAATGAGCGTTTCAATATTAAATGATATCCCCCATTTTCATGCAACGCAAATCATTGACCATCAAATTTGTTGACCGTGGAATTCAAAGGTTAATTATTTCCTGATGAATTCAGAACATTGGTAGATTTATAATTTGCAATTTGCGTCAATGGCGGTGCTAAAAAACGTAGAAATCGTAAAAATATCAACAATCTCTGGATTACCATGAAAATAGTGCTTTGGATTACGTGTAAACGAAAGCCACTTTCGCAGTTCATGCTTTGGTATGTTTGGGTAAATTTATATGTTGTGAGTACCTATTCAAATTATTTAGTCTCAACGTCTGCTCAACTAACAATGCAACATACATACAATTTTTAATAATTTTTAACACGTTGGCTTTTTATGTGTTTTAATAGAATTGACGTGTTTTAATAGAATTAACGTGTGTTAATCTTTGACTAACTCGAACAAATTATTTCAGATCAACAAATTCATCATGACGACCTCGAAAAGTTTTGACATGACCGCCGGCAGGATAATTATTTTCAACGTGCCCGGTGGCTTCTTGGTAAGCATCGGTCGAGATAATTTTGAATCACAATATTATGAAACTGTTCATGATCAACGAGGGAATAAAATATCAAATTGTGATTTGCTGAATTTAACAAAATTAGCGCATTACAGAAAAATATTTTCTTGTACTTTTGTTTTTTTATAGTAAATTATGCGATGAACTTGATACAGGATTAAATTAACGTTATAAGTGCGACAAGACAAACCGGTGGCTCGTGCCGCAGGTATGAAATACGCCCTGAATACGACATAGCCTTGAACTTGACATTAGACATTAGAACTTGATACTAGGGCCATACTTTCAAAATTCGCTAAGTGAACGTAAGTACTTACGCTCTTACTTTTCTTGTCTATGATTGGTGGATTTTGCTTGAAAGGCCGTCAATGATTGGCTGATGAACTTACGATCTCGTAACTTTTTTTGATAGTATAGGCCCTGAACGACAATGATAGAACTTGATATGATACATACGACATTAGAACTTATACTGAACGACATTGATAGAACTTGATACATACGGCATTAGAATTTGATACTGAATTCCATGAATCCATTTAAGCAGCGCTAAATTAAGTATGTTCGCATAGTTAGATAACACAGAAATTCAGATATAGGATCATTTGAAAAAATTTTTAAGGTTTCCTCATGTTTTTGTGTGATCTTATTGAAAAAATAAGCAAAAATGTTCAAAAACACCAATTGAAAATGTAATACTATACGAGCACGGCGAGAACAGCACAAAAATATCGAATGAGCTATCATGGCGACACAACAGAAATTTATTTCGCTGACCAAAATAACATAACACAAGAATAGATTCACCAGCATTGAGAGGATAGCATAGCCATAAAGGGATTTTTTAGGGATTTTTAAAAGGGATTTTTTTTCGCTCCATTGGTTTTATTCTTGTCGAGGGCCAGCAGTGAACTCCAAAAATTATATTGATCAGTGATAGTTACTAATAAATGAAACTTTCAAGTGATTCAAGAATAAAAAAAGTTTCTCGTTACATTCCAAAAAATTAATAGCAATATTGAATATCTGAAAATCATTTCGATTCTACAAATTTCAAAAGCACGAGTTTCACTTCATTCAGAATTGTACTAACATTATTGCAGCGAGGAACACTTCAAAAAGAATTTTGTATTGATTTATAACTGTTCCGACATGAAATTTCATCCCTGAAAAATCCTGACGAAGCTTCTTTCTTTCAGGACGCACAGTTTCAGTTCACAGTCGTGACTGTCCTGTTGGAGCTCTACGAAACTTAATAGCGAAAAAAACGACTTTTGATAATTGAATGGAACTGTTCAAATTAAATTGGGTGGAGAGATTGTTGTCAGAGTAACGAAAAAATGAAAGCACCGTCAAATAAAACTGGGGGGGGGGGAATTATTTATCAGATTTTTAAATTAAAACAAAAAATTCCTAATCCACACACCCACAATAAAGGATATTATGTCAAGTAGAGGTGATATGAGGTGGTAAACTTTTTGATTGCTATTAAAAGTTAGGTATAATTGAAACCGAACAACAACGTGTTGATTATTAAAAATATATATCACTAATCAAAATTAACAATAAGTTATGCACGGTAATATGTGTGTTAGCAATTAGGAATTTGTAGAACCTGAAATTGATATCGTACATCATGAGTAGACATTTTAAGTTCTGAATGTATCTATTCACTTAGGATTATACAAATTGTTTTACTTGATTAACAAAAACTCCGTGAATCAAGTTTTTCAACAACATACCAAGTTATTCCCAAGATAATTTATCGAAATTTGTCTATATTCTACAAGGTTCAACCCAGTGTTGGCTCCTCCAATGCGACGATTTCTCACTAGGTTGTTACGCCATGAACTGATATCTAATCTGTTATCTGGACCACAAAAACCCTGTTATACGAGACCGAAATATCCAGAAGCGGCATGTGGCCCAATTAATGAACTGCCTCCATAATTATTCCAACCGAATATTTTTTTGTATTTGGTGCTAAACACTCTTCATTTTAAATCAGTTATCAGCGTTTCAGATAAAAAAAAAATTGTATCCCAAATATTGCAGAAGGAATGTTAATTAGAAAAATAAAGAATGGACATACTGGTCAATAAGTAACGGTCTGAAACAATGTGACAGCTCGTTCCAACATATCTGGACGAAAGAGTTTAGTTTTGCTAAGACGCGTACTAGTGCTAAGTTCGCTCGATCTTGAAGAAAGTGCATAATTATTTGAACAAGGATCCATTTCTTTTTCTGATCACTTCGCTAATCCACTTACGTGATCAGGGTGCAGGTACAAAAAATTTAGAAGTTCAATTCTACAATTCTTTGAAGAATGGAAAAATCTAGAAGAATTTCTTCAATTCTTTGTTTCTGTTTTTTTTTTGTGAAATATTGTTTCAATTGAATACTACATGAATTTGAAAGTTTCAAACAACATTATTTCTATCATCTTAATTAGTACCTCAAGAATTCAATTCTAGTCTTGTGGATCAACATTCAAAATCAAATTTTAAGGAAGAAATATTGAAAAGCCAACACCTTGAATTAACACCTAATTAGAAGTTGAAAGTGAGCTAGAATCTTTTCATAACATCTGTCAGATGGATCTGTTAACTGACTAGTTGATGTAGTGCAAATGCCATTAGGAATTAACTACGGCGTTATTAAGTTGGCGTATATATAGTCAAATGGGGTAAGACAGGATCGCAGCCTTCATGGGGTAAGAAAGGACCAGCCCATATCATGCATTCTAATTGCACTGAATTTAATTTGATAGAAGAATATGTTAGAGCAATCATTGCATGTCATTTCAGTGCTTGTTTCAACCCTCTTCTGCAAATAATGAATTTCTGGCTAATTTTTAAAGAAAACTTATGTAAAGAAGGGTCACAAAATAGTTAACCCTGTTTGGGAAATAAGCCTGTCTCTTATACACATCTAGATGTGTATAAGAGACAGAGTCTGAGTTGTAGCTTAGAAGCCCATTGCATAACTACACCTTGTGATAGGTTTAGGGTTTTTTATTTATTCATGGTATAGATGCTACATGCTTGTTAGTGATTTCGGTCCTGTCTTACCCCATCTGACTATATATATGTACTTGCTTCCCGTTTACTCAAGATTGTCTTTTGAAAATTTAGCAACACGAGTTGATATATTGCCATGCATCGCCCATAGCTCACGCTCATCCTTGAATGCTTTTTAAATTTTGCATTCTGAGTTATTAATTGAACAGCGATCATTGATTAGGATCCACGGGATTCTCGTAACTTTATATTTGATATTTTATTGCTATGCCGCCTCGAATTTATAGAGGTTCCAGACGAATGCTGTCAGATTTATTTCTCTCTTAGTGTTCCTTGGTACATTTCGGTCTGCACTGAAACCTCATGTATAAGGAATAAGGAAAAATTAATGCCTTTCATTCAATAATTAAAATAAAGGAACGAACAATTTGACATCAAATCGCATAGAGAAATGGGACTAATAGATCACATGAAGGTAAATTATGCACATTTTTGTTAGAAATATCGAGCATGATGCTCAATTTTAATCACGAATACCAGTTCAGCTGGAATCCTTGCTCCGGCGAACAGCAAGTTGAGTTTTCTTCGACCGTCAAATGCAAGGTGGGTTCAGCTACAAATCGTGTCCCGATGAACACCAAGTAATTATGATTCTGATAATTATAATTAATGATGCACCTTCTAATTTCATTGTCAGCGCACGGACATTGAGTTACAAAAATTTTAATTTATGATGGATGGAAAATTTGCTCATTGATTCATAATTAACCCTGTACGCCTGACATGAGTTACCGGAGCAATATTGTCACAAGCCTACTTCCATAAAAAAGGATACGTTCTAGTGAGCGAAAAATGACTTGCACTGATGGTTGCCGCCACGTACGACAACTTTAAAATGTTCTCCGTTGCGTACAAACGTCATCAGGTTGCTACACTCAATAGTTTACGTATAATTCAAGTTGAAAGCTTTGAAAGAGTGACATTCGGCGGTAGAGGGTTAAGGGGACATATATGAATAACGCGAAAACTAACTGACTATCGTTCGACGCGATTAAACGATTCAGTGAACAATCACTCATTATAGCACAAATAGTAGATTAGCATTTGGGCTATATACGTTGGCGCCGGAACATTATTGCCGCCATTCAATTGGGTAACCATGTGCTTCAGTTACGCCAAATTGGAATTCATCTACAATCGTTTACATCGTTCAACGCACCAGAATACACTATCTATCCAACAGCTAGGCAACAAATATATTATTGATCTGTCAATCTTTCCCCTCTCATGTTGCTAAAAGTTTTTCTGTTGGTCTGTAAACAAAGGCAATATGAGTGGTTGATCTGTATTTCTTTTTTGACCAGAGGTTACGTGTTTTGCTTACTGAGAGTGCAACATAAAAGGAATACCAGAAATTCCCTAACATTGTACGCGTGAAAAAGATTGTTAGTGTCAATCGATGATAATGCAATGAATCCTCTTTCCTGAGATTTCAACGATTGACCAATAATTTAAAAACAAAGAAAACGACAAGTAAATTCAACATATCTTCGGGTTTTATTTGCTTTTAAATTATTGGTAATCATGAGATTCAAGCAGACGATTGATATATGTATTTTTGAGATACCCAGATTCAATAAATTGGAGTTCATTTATTGTGGCAGGAAACGATAATGAATTTAGGTAATTAATGCAGACTCCAAATAGCCTGCACGATCATGGATTACCCCCCAAAAAATGAAAGTTATGCCACGTGTTATTCAAGAGCAAGCCTCATGCATATTTTACGCTGGCATCTTCAAATGGAATAACCCAGTTGGGTCATTAAAATCAACTTGCTTGTGCGCGATAACACAACAGAATTACTCTGAATTATTTTTAACTCGGCTGTTCTAACCTTGAATCTGAGGATTTTAGGCTACAGGAACACTATCCTATCTACACTACCAACAGAATTGTGGGCATTACGAAGGCATCAGCACGTGCTTTTCTACAAAATAGTTTAAAATTGAATAGTATGGATGGATCGATGGAATTCTCTTGCATTTAAGTTAATGAAAGTGAAAATCAGTGATCAGTATATTGACTGCTGCTAGAGAGGCTGTAGCAACGAACTTCGTCTCTTTGCTTAGAAGCTGAACGCGCCGTTTAACACAGTTTTACTTTTATGAAAATTGATTTAATTATATAAATTAGTCCCAGAGCTCATCAAACATAATGTAAGGACGTGATTCTGTTGCTTATATGTTTACATAGTACAAATTGAAATATAAGAATATAAGATTTCATTGGTTGTCTTTTTTTTGCTGAAACGCTCTCGCATTACTGAGCTCAGGGTCGAAAAGTTCCACCTATTTCTACCTAGAATATTATTATACCCTGATGACAAGGGTTGATTGAGCTTAGCTGAGAGATCTTGTCACAGGTGAGCGTGGTTATAAAGTCATTAAAAGCTTCTTTTAATTATGATTCTTAAAAATTATGAGATGATGTTACCATTGATGTTTAACAAAGTACAAAGTAGTACAAATTTTAAAACCCAGGTTGTAAAAATTGTGTCGTAGTGAGAAGAAAAAATTTTCCAGAGAGGCCTTAAAACATGAATAGCGCAATAGCTGCGCGATGGCATCGCTTGCTTTGGGTCGCTCTGATCCTCGGAACGATGCCTTTTGTTCCGTCAAAAAACAAAATTTCAAGTACTCGAGCTCAGGACATCTTGATTCGAAACGGGGTCTGCGGGCGATACAAACGGCTCAAATTACCTTCAAATGACTTATACCGTAAGTATCAATAAATTCTTAAACGAGTTCATATTATTTGTGAGTTTATTTACCCATAAATTGACAAGGGGAATTATAATTGAATCGGATGGTCATGCATTTTTAAATCCTCAATTGAGGCTTATGTGGTTAACCATACTAATAAGAATGTAGAAGGGATTCAAAATATTCTCGTATAACGTCATAGATTGAAAGTAAGAAAACTAAACTGTTATTAGAAAATATTTAATTACAGAGACCGAAGAAATTATTTTCAAAGAGAGAACACTTCGCGTTTTGGCAGCATGTAGACTACAGTGCTGTCCCTAATAAAATTGTATAATATTTATCTTACAACAATGTAAAAACATTCCATCAAGCTAACTTACATTCATTATAACATGATACGAAAGTTTAAATTAAATTTTGCAGTATTATGAGCGATATTTTAAATTTCAGCTACAGTATTACTTTTTT